GCCACATCGCATTCAATAAGCCACTACGATTCTGAATGGAAGTAGAATGCGTGCCGCATCCCACAAAGGGATTGATCAACGGCGAAGACTTTATCCTTTATCCTTTCAAGGTACAGCCATAATGCTCACTGTGATGAGCAGCAGCTGATCTAGTAAAGGCATAAACTGCCCATGGTTAGCTCTGACCATTCTTTTTTGAAGCACTAAGATTTCGCCTCAACGACTTGAAGTTCAACGCCAAAGAAACCCGACGTCTTTGAGTCCGTCTGTCTCTCTCCTAATAACCCATTGAGTGCTGATAAGTATATAAAAGTGAAAGGTGCGGCAGAGTAAGCGAATAGAGTAAGTGCTATAGGGCGCTGCATGCTGGCAACAGGTAACCTTATGATCCCAGCTAAGTGGAATTCATCTTGTCCGCGTAAGCACTTAACATTCGCAGCTCCCATCGATCCTCCCACGATTTCGTGGGTAGGGAAGCTCTTGGTGGCATCAACATATTTCCATCTGTTGAAGCTGAGCTTCATTCCCTGCCTGACGATTGCCTCAGCGGCTTACAGTGGACCAGCCGTCAACCATTTCGTTTGCTATCAGTTTTCTACGACTATCAGTTTCCAAGTATCCTCTGTCCGCCACGGTTCCTTCTTCCAGTATATGCTACTCCGCCGCTGCTCACCTCCACGTCCGGCCTCATTAATGCGCATGTGTGGAGAGGGTTTTATCACAGTCACACCATTCCTTCTGCAATCAGGCTCTTTACCACACATCGAGACCTTCAGCGGACAGACAGACATACCTACATACCGAAAAACCGATGCACAAAGTTAGTGGTTCATAGAGAACGAAGAGTTTCAAGGGTGACTACAGCTGTAGATTCGACTTTTGCATTCCTCATTGCGTCACCTTATGACTTTTCTTGAAGGTTCGCAAGGAACGCTTCTTTTCCGTCGTTGCTGGCGTTGAATGAGGAGCTCCAGGGGACCATGGGCAACATGGAAGGACCTTCCTTCCTTGACGTGGAAATCATTAACAGGCATTAGGCATTACCAATGTTCTGGTCAGTGCCCTGAAAACGAAAGTCACGCGCGAGAAGGGAACTCCTTGTTCTTCTCATTTTCAGCACTATGTAATAGCAGCTGATCGGATGTGTGGCAGCCGCCGAGATGTCTCAATGGTGGTTATACAGATCCGCTAAACTGTAGCGTGTGCAAGTAGGTCTGCTCACATCTACTGACTATAACGCCTCCTCAAGTGAAGTCTCATCAGATTCTATTTGCAGGTGCCCTTCTGGTTTTGGAGGGAATCTTTGTGATATGGTCGCTTCATCGGCTCCGCTGAATTGTGGAAGATCGATTGAAGCTACGTCGACGCTAATGCGACTCAGAGTTCGCATGACTGTCGGTCCTGTCAGAAGGCAGTGTGTTTACCATATTCGAGTAGTTGACTAGTAGTATAGTATGTTCTCACATTTATTGCGGGTCCAATTTTAATTCTTGTTTAGCGCTATATAGAACAACTAAGCTGCGTTTGCGTTTATACTTTGCGGCAGCGTAGCGTAGCGCTTCCAGCGTACGCCAGCGGCAGTGCCGAAGAGAGGATGCATATCGATCTAGCTTCACCAGCGTCACCAGCGTTTCTCCAGCGTTTCACCAGCGTTTTGCTAGCGTTTGCAGCGCAGGGGAGTTTTTAGAGGACTATGGAAAGGAGCTGGAGGGTACAAAACACATCGATTGCGCGTCTCTCACTCGCCCTTAGTCTCTACAATGCACATCGCTTCTGCGTCTCCGACGGCCACATGGTCTCTACAATACACGTCGATTCCGCGTCTCTCACGGCCACATAGTCTCTACTCCCTGCCGCTGCAAGCGCTAGCAAAACGCTGGTGCCGCTGGCTGGAGAAACGCATTCTGAGAAGGAAAACGCGTTTAGTGTGAAGCTTCTTAGATCGATAGCTTTTATGCTTCCCGTGCCCTCGCTACGCCAGCGTGCCGCTGGTGACGCTGGTGAAGCTAGATCGATATGCATCCTCTCTTCGGCACTGCCGCTGGCGTACGCTGGAAGCGCTACGCTACGCTGCCGGCAAAGTATAAACGCAGCCTAAGCGCTTTTTTGAGGAATATCCTCTGCTTGTCTTGGGGGAGGGCGCAGGGAAATGACACCCTTTCTTCAAGGTACCAGGTACTTGACGGTTTCTAGACATTTACTTCACAAACTGCTCTTGATGATAGCTCGTGCTATCAAGAATTACATTGGGTGTTATGTATGAACAGTAGCCGATAAAATGATTCCCCACGGTAAGAAGAAAAATACAGCAACAAAAAAAAAAAACTTGAGAACACCCTAAACCCTGAAAACTCCTACTTCACAATTACCAGCGTCATTGCATGAATTTCACGGACTTGGTGGCAACCTCATCGTGAAGCCTCTCTGCAATCCCTCGTTCCCAAATCGTTTCTTCGCTGCGACCTCTGCGCCACCCTTGGCTTACTAATCGTTTCTTCGCATCTTTCCGTAGTAACTGCCATCAAATAC